CACCAAACCGCTGCATTTAGTACGTGTTGAGGCAACCTGAGACACACATTTACTGACTTCACTGTGACCTTTTGTAGCAATCAAATGAATCACATACAAGGTGAAAGCTTCATTTATTGTCACATTGTTCCACAATGAAATGCAGTTCCATCATCCCATTATGCTAGCACAGGGGTCCCCAACCTTTTTTCCTAAGAGGCCCCCCAAATGACTCCTGTTGGAAGTTGCGCCCTCCCCCTCCTTGTGTGTAATTAATGTTTCAAAGTCTCAAAAATGCTACAACTCCTGTCACAAACTGGATGAATGTGAAGTATTTTGTTAAAGGAGGATGAAAGCGTAATTAAGGAGCACTATTGGAGTGACTTTGATGGTTATTGGACTCAGGATTGATTCATTTGGATTCGCGCTGTATGAAGAAATTAAAGGACGGCACCAGTGTTTAAAACACATGCTCAAAGTAAGCCGTATTTTGCCGATGTGTTTATGTGGATTCAAAAGTCGTAAATATCTACAAAATGGAGGAGACCGATCTGATCGGAGCAACTGTGACAAATAATCCAACTGAAACCGGCATGGACAATGACTATGTTTTAGAAATGCGCTTATCCAGACAAACCCGGTTTGGAAACTTTACGGGCAGAAGAAACATTTCTATAGAAAGAATTATACATTTCTGTTTTTTTATGCATTTATTAGCTATAACTTGAATTGTTATTAAAATTAATTAATCAATTATTTTTTATATTTTATTGCAATGTAGAGACAAGGCTTTTAGTGACAATCATGTATTGCCTTACAATTATATGTAAAAAAAATGATATTTGGCCTCAAATCATCTGAGGCCTGGCGCCCCCCCTGCGATCTTTGGCGCCCCCCAGGTTGGGAACCACTGATCTAATGTATTGTGTGGACATTTGAGGATGACGTGTTCTTTCCCTTTTGTTCTCCTAGAAAAGTTTGGTCTCCCCAATGTGATGTTCCTGTACGCTCTTATGAGCTTTGTTCTGCTGGTCTTCATCATCTTCTGTATCCATGAGACCAAGGGTCGCACACTGGAGGAGATATCAAAAGAACTGGCTAAGAAGTGAGTGGGAGTTTGCTGATGAGCTTAATGTTATCAAGGTGTCGAGTCGTTTTCTAAGTAGATTGCTTTATCTTCCTTCTCTGCTTTCCCAGGAAACTTTTTGAGGGGAGGCTCTGCAGGCAGGTTCAGCCTCAGAAGAGTCTGATCTGTAGCAGCACGTCCACAGAGACTCCAGCAAACGTCTGATTTTATCATTTGATTCCCAACTGTACACCTCATCTGAAGGAGAGTCCAGAGCATTTAAGGGCAACTGTTAAGAATTTGGGCTTGAACTCGTACATCGCTGCAGTTCCAGCAGATCCTGTATTGATGGCAAACTCATATCCTTGTTGCTACGTGCTGCACGTGAAGGACGAACAACAGGAAGGGGATAATGGAAATTGTATTTTCAGGACATTTTTTAATAATTAAGGTTTGATTACATTAGTAGAACTCAGGTCTCACTTCAGGAAGTAAAGATAAACTTTGGGGATGAATTGAATTTCTTTGTAAAAAATGCCTTTCTTGTATTACCTACCAATTCAACCCCAACATAATGACTTCAGTATAAACTTTGAATTCTTGGAGAACATGTTTTTCCAATGTCTCAATAATTCAAGGGTGAACATATATACAACATATTGGGGGTCAAGTATTACCTTAAGAATACCGTTCCAATAAGGCAGAAATGAAAGAAAACCCACTCAAACTGTTCTACTACAGGTTTTTAGTTTAGACAAAAGAATGTCTCGTTGGTCTTGATTAGGGAAATCCAAGATGTGCTAAACTATCAAACACTAATAACTTGAAATGTCTGTTTGTAACATTCTTTGAATTCCAAATTAATGCATTATTTATGTACTGTAACAACACTAGAGCCCGGTGCCGCCTCTTTTTGTATGGGATTAAGCAATCAAGAAAATGATGACTCAACAAGTTCCCTTTTACTGTATGCCTGTCTGCTGAACAAATAATAAACTCATCAGGTATGGTAGTACTATTGGTACTGTTGTATTGTAACATCAAAAGTGATTTTGTTTTTTTACTCAATGTTGCCAAAATTAAACTTAGATGATTAACAAGTGGGATGTTTTACATCAAAGTGTGTACTTTGATACAGCTCCTTATCTTCTTCTCCTGTAGGAATGTATTTGTAATCGGACACACTGAAAATCTTGGATAACCATGAGTTATTCAGTGCTTGACTCCAGCTGTAATCATGCCACGCATGTACACAAAGAGAGTAAATGATACAAAGTGAAGTGTAGTTTTAATTGTTGATCCTTTATTTTTATACAAAATACAAAATTCTGAACAAGTGTCACAAACATTCAGTCGACACTAGTTCAAAAAGTCCATCGCACATACTTAAGACGACATGTCAACGGCTATATCAACATGTTTTCATCAGATGCCTCTATTATATACATACATCTGTTGCCTGACATTAGGTTGTCCCAATTAAAAACACTTTCTGTTGTTCAGGAGCATGATAATGTGTAGGATTTGATTTTTCTGGGACTGGCTAACATCGTTGTCATTGCCTCTTTGAACACTGTGAAATGGAACCGCTGCTGTTGAGATTATGAGTTCTTTACTTAAAAATGACACTCATTTTTTTTTTAAAGAGTTTCTGTTACTCTAGTTGCCTCTCAAGCAATTTCAAAGACTAACTATGGACGGTGTTTCATAACTATTCCTTCCATTGTGTCAGCAACAATGACCTGGGACTAACCAGAAGTTCTGTTTAGTAAAAATGAGTTGGGGGTCTATGGTGACGGACACATTAAGAATTAACATACCGTTTCAAAGGTGTTGTTTTGTATATTTGCCTTCTATTATTAAGAAATGAAATCACAACTTCTGTGAATTCTGATCCAGTACCAGTTAAGAATGAAGAACAGATTTATAGTAAACCGAGAACCAAACCAAGTAATAAACAAATTAAAAGCAACAAGTTAATTGAGAGATTAATGCTTTCTGTGAGCAGATATGTGCATCTGCATAAAGAACTGCAGCCTCAGTCCAGACTCCATGTTTTTCTTAGTGGGCAGAAATATGGGTAATACAGAGGATGCCTTGTGTTTGTGTTAACACGCCATGGACGGAGATTATTTTAGAAAAACGACATCTTGTATGTAGAGTTAAAAGTGAGGCTTCTCAGTGTAGACCTACTGACCCGATGCAATGGTCACAACAGTTCAGCGTTAAAATGGTTAGACTGTTAAAAACGGGTATTTCTGTGTCCACCCAGAGCAAATGAGGAACATGAGTGAATAACTTCAATGTCGGGCAGGTCTGGAAGAGCAGTTTCCACTGAAGAAGGTGACGTTTGAAAGACAAACTTGTAAGTCTAGGCGGTTAAAATCACAATACCCACAGAATCCACAACAACAGAGACACTTGTGAGAGGGAAGTTGTTAAAAGTTCAAATCCAGGTGACATCCAGTCTGTTGTGTTAGAAGTTTGTGGACACGTAGCGGTAAATCCAAGCAAATAAAACCCAAGGATAAGGTGCTTCCTCACTGACAAATCAGACGTGTCTTCTCTTTCCTTCATTCCCTCTGTCTTTGACACATTTCTTCTATTTGCGGAGGGGTTTCCTACACTCGAACAGTAGTGGGTACACCTGCTCAACAGCTGTGGCCACAGTCTGCACATTTGGTCCTGGACAATGGGATAGATGAGGATGGAGTGGGGGTAGGATGAGAACATAACAATAAGGTTTTAGTACAATTAAAAGACAGAAAGAAGTCAAAAACTCAGAAGAAATTGAAGTCACATATACCATTAGCACCATTGTTTGAGTTAAGTTCTACACAAAAACGTCCTAAATATTTCACCCAGAGTAAAAATTCCTTGAGGAATTAGGTTATACAAAACCGCGTTTCTGGTTGTGACAGACTATAAAAGTGCATAACAAAAATGTGACCTCAATCCCTTTAGCTGCTGCGCCCCCTAGCTGAGGAAGAGACTCAGGGCACAGCACCCAATAAGAAATGTAACGGTGTACAGTAGGGCTGCACGATATATCGTGTCGTGACGATAATCGCGATATGCGCATGTGCGATATTCACATCGCATGGACGTGCAATTTTAAAAAAAAATCGCAAATTTTTTCTTCTTTTTTATTTTATTTAGGACTTGTGATATTAAGTAGGCAAATTAACTCAAACACGTCATGTTACAATTATTTTGCTGCTTGCTACAAAAGGAAAACTTGCGCGGCTCTCATGTCAGGGGGGGTACTTGAGTGAGTGACATGCAGGCTCTGCATGCACAGCAAGCCACCAATCACAATCAAATCTCCAAAGCAAACGGACCCCGTGTTTAAAGGTAAAAACACTGAATAAAGTAGTTTCATGTGTTTCTCCAGTTCGGCGCTGCTAACCGAGCTAGCTCAGCTTGTTGCTCTTATAACTTAAGATCCAGACGTCCGTGACTAAAATCCTTCATCCGGTTAAATATAGTTAAAAAAATACCAATTGTATAGCATTAAAGTTCTAGAAAGGAGGGTTTGCGGGAAAATAAAACGGTATTTTCTTCAATCCCTGTATGTTTTCATATCGCAATATATATCGCAGGGGAAAAAAAATCACAATGTCCGTTTTTTTCCAATATCGTGCAGCCCTAGTGTACAGCATTGCACTTTTATTATTTAATAATTATTAGCAGTGTAATTATCAGTTACTAAGACCGTTAAAGTAATGAGAATAGAAGAATAAAGATAAACATAGTTTTAAACAGGATTAAAAAAAAGATAGCATCTCACGGAAGCTAATGAGTTGACATGTTGCCAGCAGTTTAGCAGGAAAAATAAACTACAGTGAGTTTATTTGAATGCTGTAGATAAGGAAATGAACACAGTATGGTAGCGGTCAACTGTCATGTAGCGAGAGGTACCTGTAACTGTGATGCTGCCAGTCGAGAACACCTGGACGGTAGCTTTAATATGTTTGATCCTGTAGGTGGCAGCAGGATGGAGCTCCGGTTCATAACTGACAAACACAAACAAGCACAAGGTAAGTCATCTCAAAAATCTTGAGGAATCAACCATGACCTTCAATAACTATTTTTTGGACAATAACTGAAAAATAAAATCATAATTGAGGTTATTCATCCAAAATACAGTATTCTCCCCTAGCATGCAGCATTACAGGGACACAGAAGGTTCATTCATTTAAAAACTAATTAAAAAAAATAAAAGAATACACCAAGTTCTTATTTTACAATCTATATCTGTGTACCTATCCAAGTACATACACAGCTTTGTGAATCAGAAGCTGTTTACACATACACGTCTTTTCTCTGATGCTGGTGCTAAATGAGTACTGAAATGCTGAACAGTGCTCACACCACTAGAGGTCATCCTGCCCTTCCAAATAATAAAAAACTATGGTAAAAAAAAACATTTTAAACAGGGCTATTTACTCCAAAATACATGTAGCCTACTGAGGTGGCAAAAAAATTTGAAATAAATATAATTACATTTCATTAAAAATAACTGACAAACCATATAATAATGACATTAATCTGTAGTCTTTATGAGATCAGAGATAACGTCAGACTTCTAATGAGTGAAAATGAGAACCAAAACATTTTGGAGATTCTGGACTGACAGGACAAACCATAGGTACTATGTTATATATATTTATAGCACTGCTAAGACAAATCTGGATAACAGTTATGATTGTAATCAGTGTGGTCGTGATATTGGTTGTAATGCATAGTACTGTATTACCTGGCAATGGGTCGGTTGTTCATTGTAAAGTCTATAAGAGCGATCGAAAAGGGCATGGAGCACACTGCCAGAACATTCACCACTTTGAAGGCTGAAAACCTCACCTGTGTAGAAAAAAAATACACATGCAGTTACTCATATGAATGTATTTACACGTACATGCGTCCACATTAAAGAAGAACTCTTGTCTTTTAATGTTGGTCTCATGGCCTTAGTGTTGGCAATAATTCCTATAAATCAGCCCCCACACACACACACTCCAGTTATTCCAGAGATATATGCAAATGTAATCCACCGATAACCGGCAAGTAATCTGATCTGGTGAGAGGTGACCTGTCTAAACCAAATGAGGATTCACAAGAAATGTAATCCTTTAAACTGTCAGTATTTCTGTTTGATTAAAGAACTGCATTAACAGCAGAGCCTTCTTGAAACATATTGACTCTTGCTGAGTCAATAAGTCCAGGATTGTATAAAGAAAAGAAAAATCCCCTGAGAAATCACATGTTTTTCTTATAACAGAGGCTTGAACCTTAACTAGACAGTCTAACATGTTACAATACACTTCACATTCAGATTGATATTCATAGTTATGCCTGTTTTTCAAACATAATAAAGTGCTTTTTGTTATGATACATAGGTTATGCTCACCCTGAAGCCCAGTTTCTGCAGAACACGGGCTAACCTGCGAGCGCCCAGCTTTGCGTCATCCTCACTGCAAAATACAGAAGAGATGTTACATGGAAATTGGCAAACAAAGAGTAAGGGAGGCAAGAAATCAGAAGCCCACATTTTTCTCACCAGAGATAGTTAAAAGAGGCTATTAATAGGGCTCTGGCAACAACAACAACCCGATTTGTTATGAGCAGTTGCAGATTTTATTCGCAGACTTCAAAGGAGTTCATGGTTTGTGTTTTATGTGTAGAGCAGGGGTCTCAAACTCAAGGCCCGGGGGCCAAATCCGGTCCGCGACTTCATTTTATGTGGCCCTGCAAGAGCTTGCAAAGAATATAATACGTTTATTATAACGGTTACATGCCACTTTAAAGAAGCAGGTTGCTCATAAACTACATGCCCCACAATACATCTCGTTTTGTGACATGCGCACTGGAGAGACTTGCAATTATTTGCCCTGGACTTCTGCTTTCAGACGTAGTTAATTACTAAGTTATTACCCTATCCGATAATAATCCAATTCAGTGGCAATAATGTATTATAATAGATTATTTTATATATATATTATATTTTGATATAGTTACAACCGGCCCTTTGAGTGCAAACTTTATGAGAATGTGGCCCGCGATTGAGTTTGACACCCCTGGTGTAGAGTGTCTACCTTGTGGCTCCTGTGCAGATGATTTTCCCTGAGGACCAGATTGAAGCTGTTATTTTGGGTTTACGAAGCTTCATCAGGACTTTCTAAAAAAGAAAGTGTTAACATTTGAATGCAGCCAACATGGATCATGATAAATGCACTGTACATAATCAAAAGAAAATCAAGCTATTATTTGAATCTCTTAATAAGAATTTCTTTGCCTTCATCCACTTCCTTACCCCACAATCCGGCTTATAGATGACATTGTTCCCCTCTAAGGCGATGGTGCGCAGGTTGAGGTGGCACCTGACCCTGAATGTGGCCACCACATTGGTGATAATGATATCGAGTGCCTCATCATTGCTGGAATCCATGAGGAAGTGTGCGATGCAGCAAGAGGACCACAGGGGCTTTCTCCTCACACATTTATCACCTACGCCTCCACCACCATGTCACTCAGGGGCCAAGGAGACAAGAAGAGCTGGAAGGGGGAAAAAGGAGTTATTAATATTTTGAGAGACAAATGTTATAATGACAGTTTATATCGAAAAACCTTGTTTGGTGATAAAAACTAGTGTCATACACATGCAAATATACTAAGTTTTGTAATGTCCTATATCCTTATTACTTTCTAAAATGCCTTTGTTTTCATAGTGTTTACAATATTATTCATATTTCACTGTCACATTAGCACATTTTATAACATGACCAATACAGTTAAAATAAACTCGCACACATGTATGTTCGGTATGTGTAAATAACATCTGAATGAAAACGTTAAAAATGAATGCACTAACTTGTCACCTTAGTTGCAGCGCCAATTCATCTGATTCTCCAGTTATGTGGTTCCCTTGTACTTGATATGAATGGGACTAGTAATCACAAAGGCATCTGAAAGACATGAGGAATCATTTATACATTTTGGGAAATTATATTTATTTTGTATGAACTTTTACGCTATGTTGGCCATGTATGTAGTTAGCTTTCCCGCTAGTTATACAGCCTGACGCGCTAGCAACTTGCTCTTCCTACTAAATCCACGCTATCCAGTCAAATACATACACATTATATATTAGAGATTAAATACATGATTTATACATCACGTTAATGTGTTAACGCGATATAGCGGGGCAAAGTTGTGCCTAAAACAGAAGCTTTAGTGGCGTTACAGCTGATGCATCGCTCACCCCTCTGTTGTATTGCATAGTAACGCAACTGATAAGCTTGTTTAGGACACTGATGCTAAGCTAGCTAATCTTGCAAGCCTTACAAACCGGCTGTCAACTTTTAATCGCAGACTAATTTAACATTTCGACATCAACTAACATGTTTTATGAAGTTTACTGAGATTAACGATCAGGAACAAACAGTAGATCCACCTCACTACTGCCCAGATCTGTTGTGATGAGGCTATCCGTTAGCTGCAACAAAGAAAGTGCTCAGGCAGTAATGAATGAAAAGTTGGCAGCTAAGCTAGCTAACAAGCTAGCTATCTAACGATGACGAGGTCGTTACACTGTTTCCAGTGGTTGGTGTTCATGTGTGTTTCTCAAATGTATGCTTTAGTTCTTTAGCTACCTCTTCAGCTAGCTCAGTGATGTAAGCCCGAAACATAAACAGTCCAGCCAACGGTGAAATTTGTGGACAGACCCCTTCCTCCGCGAGACACTGAACAGCGAGCCAACTAGCTTCCTGTTTGGGCTTTCAGAATAAACCCTTGTGACGCAGGGAACTTCAAAATAACTACAACTTCCGGTTTGAACTTTAAAAATGTAGCCATGATAACATTTGAACTTTAAAAATGTAGCCATGATAACATACAGTCGGCTACTAATGTATAGTAACTTTTTATGATAACGATTTGCAGGACAAAAAAATATATTTTAAATAGTAGTTAGCCTAATTAGATATGTGTTTTCAAAAGTAAAACTACAAACAGTAAAAACTATTCTTGTTTTGCAGGAATTCATCATAAGGCATTTGGTAAACAAATATAAAGACTGTATTCTTCTTTATCATCACCAAGCAATTATTAAAGTTCTCTTAGTTAAAACAAGAAAAGTATCACATGTTTTCAATTGAGTAAAAGCAAGGAATTGCAAAGTTAATTGGAAATTAATTTACAGATACATATTATGAAAAATCCATCCCTACCTGCAGCAAACATGATCAATGTATGACTCCTTTCAATTGTTTGGAGAAAACCATATCAAATAGAACATTCCTTTTCTCCAATTGGCATTTAATTCCCATTCACATTAATGCGTGTAGAATTGAATTATTTATAGAGATGAAATGAATGGCAAAGATAAATTAACCATATATTCATATAAATTACAACTTTTTTGTCAAAGAAATAAAGAAAATTATTATGCAGATGTTTAAACCATACGTTGGTTTAATGTTGGTAACTTGCGAACTTGCGCCACCATGTGGACCATTAGGGTTGATTTCTGTAGCCAAATTCTGTTGTTTGGGATAATCTCCGTTTGCCAATATTACACTTAGTAGGCTTATGTTAACACCATTTCCAGATAACAATGTGTAATTTTTCCAGTGTTTATGGTGTATTGACATTTAAGCTATGAGGTAAAAAAAACATCTCAGAGGAAAATGAGCACATCTGGTCAGTAAATACTGCTTAGGGAATTCTGGACAGGCTACAAAAGGGGAGAAGGAGTAAAGTTTGGACGCGGTTGGGAATGTTTGTGTTATCAATGAGAGAGTTCACAGCCGCTCCCGTGGCTCATGAATGAATTTAGTGAATGGATGGAGCCTGAGGTGTACTCTGTCACATCCTGCAGTGTACTGGTGACCATCAAGGTCTTTTAATGTGGACTTAGTACTTATTCGTTGAGCTCTTGTACCTGTCTACTCTAAC